GAGGGAGGGGGGGGGGGGAGCAAATAGGGGGAGGGGGGCGTGGCCACACGGGCCCGTCCGGCACAGCCTGTCGCACCCCCTCGGCTCGGGGGGGCTCGCAGGGCGCATGCGCAGTCACGTCCCTAGCACCTCAGAGCGGGGCGTCCGCGTAGCGGCGGTCGTGCAGCCTCCCTGAGCGTGGGGTCGGCCCGGGCTTGCTGCCACCCGGGGCAGGCTGAGGACAGGCAGGGCCGGGAGGGGCCTCCCCTAGTACAGCCCTGGCTGAGGCAGGCGCTCGTGGCTCCTCGAGGCAGGGCCGCGCACCTCTGGCTGGAGAGAGTCCAGCAGAGAACAACCAAAATGGTTCAACACCCTCCTTGCGAGACGGCTTTTCCTAATATCCAGCATAAACCTCCCTTGCTGCAACTTCACACCATTGCTCCTTGTCCTGTCGTCACTGAAAGCAGTCCAGCTCCGTCCCGTCGACCCCCCGGCTGCTCTCGAGTCTCCCCTCCGTCTTCTCTTCTCTTCCGCAGACGAAATAACCCCGGGTCCCTCAACTTGTCCTCATAAATCACGTGCTGCAGCACCCCAGCCATTTTCATTGCTCTGGACCGGACTCGAGATCTCCAACTTGTCCACATCCTGAAGCGCCGCCGCGTCCTGAAGTGCGTGTGCGTATGGGTTACGGATGAGAGTGCATCCATCGACTGTACGTCAGGAAGGCAAATGCACATGACTATTACATTTGAAAAACCCGCTGGACTATTGTATGAATTGGATTCGACATTTGATATTTAATGAATGCCCTATCGTTTATCTCCCGGGTGACTCTCATTAGGTTCCTGGACGTCTATCTCTAATTCCCGGAGACTTCAGGGCAATCCCGGAGGGTCGGCCACCCTCCCGTTGGGCGCAACCTGTGTGGCTCTGCGCCAGGGAGGAAAGCCTTGTACAAAAAACACTAATAATCGATACCAGTATTTGTTGCCTCTGAACATTTTGCCGTCATCTCAACCCGAGGGCCTAGGCTCTTCAGATAAGCTACCAGTGCCACCCCGTGGGATTGGATTTGGAGTGAAATCACAACTGAATATTTTTACAGACACAGTCAGATCAATGGACTAGATACGTAGAGAGGGGAGAGGCGTGAGTACCGCCGGTGCAGACACTGACGGGTTGGGAAAGTTGGGCTGTAGAAGCAGTGCTGACACAATACTAATGGTGCACGGGTTAGGAAATGGCAGGAGTACAGTTACTGGAGCAATCATTTTCAACCTCGTTGTGCATATGCTTTATGTTTTTAATTACTCAGTCATCCACTATTTTCTCCATCAGACTCCTCCGTCCTTTCCCTTTTACCATACCCTTCACTGTGGTATCTCTGAGTGCCTTTAGGAGTGTACTGAGCTTTCTGTATTGCTTTTTCTCTCGCTCTATCCCCGTGGCTGAAGACCACGCAGTGGAGTGTTTCATTTTGTTAGTTTTGATCTGTGTTTTTGGTCATTAGCTGATTTTGGATTGCTTTGATTATTAACTATATAGGTTGTTATATAATAGAGGAGGTATGATCAAAAACATGTGCCTTGTCCTTGAAATGGAAGATTTATGATGACCCCTTATTCCTGAGTGAGTTCATTCCACAATCCTGGATGAGCCCGTGAAAAGGGTCTGTGTCCTGTGCATATGAGTCTTAACCTTGGCGTAGGAGACTCCCATTGTGCCAGAAGATTGAAATGTCAACCACAGGCAGGGGCAGAACCAGTGGGTGTGCAGTGGTGCAGTTGTACCCTTGTT